GGGAGAAGTAGTTCCATTCACATCAGACCTGACATACTGGCTGTTGCATATAGGACAATATAAATGGTCAGTGGAAGAGAGAAAAATCATGCTGGAACAATTTACCGATAGTGGTGTCTGCATTGTTGTTTGCGCATATTGAACCACTCTTTCTTAGTCTTTCTCAGTTTTCATCTCTTCAGATGCCATGCAGTGGTTTGGTAGCAGCTTAGCAGGACGCCGTTGTTGTGTGTGAAGAAGGATGCTCAGCCAGTGTTCTAGTAACGAGATCGGGACCGTGAACCAATGCACGGCTACACCTCAAAGGCACGCAGAGAAAGAGAATCATTCCCAGAAATAAGAGAGGAGAAAACATGATGTTATCCATGAAAGTACATCTACTTCAAAACATGTACACCACATACGGCACAATGGCTACTGTACAAGAGCAAAACTCTAACCGTTCCCTCTGTTCGGTGATATGCCATTTCATATTGTTTCCCATTGCCGTAGCTGCAGGGAGGGGGTGCCCATTGTGTGTTTGGGGAGTATTCCCCGTGTCGTCTGTATGTCAGGTATCAATTACGTCATTCACACTTACTAAAGGTAATCATAGAAAGACACAATACGAAATCCTCGTATGAGCACGATGACATCAGTCTTGAGCAATTGGTTTTAATTTCACAATGTCCATAATAAAATCATCATGCTTATTGTGATATTATTTTTTACCCAGAATTCTGCACTCAACAGCACTCCAATCCCAATATTGATATTGCTGCACTGAACTCAGCTGGACGCATTTCATTAGGCTGTGCAACTGGAGCATAGGGAGAATAAGTCAGCCCTATAAAAGTCTGAGTTTGCTAAATGGCTGGGAAAGGTCGAGGCCAAAAAGAAAAACACTGGGAGTGATGGAGAGGAGCGAGGTTTTACTGTCGAAAGAATTGGGAGAGGTGACTGGGAAATCATCCCAGCAGATAGTCTCCTTTCGGAGATGGTTTAAACAGCTGAGCCATATGTCACAGCACAATGTTAACCAGCCACGTACTTGGACCAGGACGGGTCAAGGTGAACAGATCCACCAAGGCCTGGTCTGAGCTCTCAAGCAGGACACCAGAGCTGCTGCGTCTCCCACCACGCTTGTAACTCGGTCCCGTGATCCCTGTATTATGACTATAATCCAGCTATAAAGAGTTACAGTCGTAGTATGAGGTCTCAGCTCGCTAATGAATGAGAAAGCACTTCACGTCTTTGTGTGGACTTTAAACCGCAGAGCTGAACACTCGTCAAGGCTGATATCTGACTCCTGCCCTCCTGTTAAATGTGGGGAATTCATGTTAGTGATGCATGCAACACTAAATCAGCTAATATCCTGAATATCGTATGCAAAGTTGAAAGAAAAGCTTTGCTTATTTGCTTTCTTACCGAAAGGTAGTTGAGAAGATCGATACCACTCTGATATCAGTGATTTAAATATGATCCTACAGCCAGGAAATGGATAGCTTAGCTTAGCATAAAGACTGGAAACAAAGGTAAACAGCTAGCCTGGCTCTGTCCATCAGGTAAAACAAATCTAGTTCGTTTTGCTTGGCAAAACCAGAAGTGAAAAACAAGACTCCAGGAAGTCACCCTGTCCATAACCTCCAGTAAAACCACAACTTTAGTTTTCACACTTTTTAACCTTTGGACTGGGTCAGGTTAGCTGCATCCAGTCTTTGTGCGAAACTAAGATTACCGTCTCCTGGCTCCAGCTTCACATTTAAAGTGAGCCTATGTAACAATGCTGTGGCCACAAATGACGAGTTATATATCTCATGTTTGCTAACGTTAGCTATAACATTAGCCAGCATAAGTTACATACCAGACCAGCTTATTAAGGGTTAGGGTTGTTTTATTGCTCAGGAATTCACGGTTTCATTCCTAAAATAAGAAATGTCACTTTCTTTCTTCCAAAAGTTTCACTTAAACGCACAGACTTGATGGTGGTATTGATCTAATCTTACTCTGTTGCAGCCGTAATGCAGCCGTCAAATACTCTCGACTCTTTTGTCTCCCATTTGTTCACAGATCTCCAAAAATAAATGTGCAGCACATGCCGTTGTGCCTGACGTGTAGCAATGACAGGATTACAGTGCATGAGTGATACACCCACAGTAATAATGACAGGGGATCTACAGCATGACGGAGAACAGGTAACGACAAGGGTATAGGGTGTCACTGAGACCTGAGAATGACAAGGGTACACCGAATGACTTTGACCTGGGACTGATGGTGTCAGACGATACGGCTGATGTATAAATGAGGTGCTGATGGACTGCAGCGATTCTCCTGCCCGTGCACTCTGTTAATCCTACGTATGCTGAGATGGACTCCACTCTTGTCTCAGGACGGTCATCAGGATTAGATGGATCGGACAAACTTGGCTGGTGTCTATTTAAATCAACAATTAATGAGGGTACTGCTACGGGGGGGAAAGACGGAGAGAATGGTTCATTCATTGCTGTCACACACATACACACGTCGTGGTGTAAAGCCCAGAGGCCCGGGCTTAGACAGCCAGCGGCGCTGGTTTGGCCGGTGTGTATTTTGCGAGGTGCCTGTGATGATGAACAGCACAGCAGACTGTACAGTGCAGCCGTGCTCAACTCTTTTACACTGAGCACTCAGAAAATATGAAGATGGCTTTGCGAGTAAGGAAGTAAGGCCTGCTTACTCTCACTCTCGATGCCTCGGCTCTCGTTCACGTAAACTTTAAACTACAATAACAACCTGCAAACTGTCAATGTTTGCAGGCTGTGCACCTGTGCGTGGGCGCATGCTACAGTACGCTCGGGAGCAGGTCTGCCTACCATGATGGCACAAATGTCCCGTCTCTCTGTGCTGGATATGAAATGCGATTCCCAGAGGGCCGAGCGTTGAGGCCCTCAGACACCTGTAGGGGCTTAGCTGTGAGAGAAGACAGTCTGCAGAGTGACACTGGGAGCTTATAGGAGCAGGAAGCTGCTTTATGCGAATCTGAAAAGAGAACGCACCAAAGGACGGATTCAGCAATCGTCCGCATTATTGAAATTCCTGACGGGGACGACTATGAAAAGTCCAACAGGTGATTCTAAAGGAGAAAGCTTTATTGCCATGAGAAATGGGCTCAAACATAACGAGTAGCCAAACATGATCTGCCTGAAACAACCAAGCGGAGATGTGGATTACAAGGACGCTCTACACTTCAAATGCTTTAAGTTCCAGTTTCCTGCTGCTTAATGTGAACAAATTGATACATTACATGGAGCCCTGACAAGGCAGTGACTCGGTACTACCACCAGAAAGGTTTGGTTATACTCAGACAAACGCACAAGGAGGTAAAGGAATGCAGAAGGGCTTACATCAAGCACTGAATGCACTGTAAGGTGAGTCATACGTTCATCCACGTGTCCATGTGTCAGACTATGGGAAAGGGCTTTAACCCGTTCTGGCCGACAGACTGAAACAGCTCTAGTAGTGGTTCAAAGCTCAACTAATGTGATGAAACTGGAATAAACCAGTGGCCCTATGGGCATCATTCATGTTTCATCTAGTAAAATGAATAAAAGAAATGTGATAGAACTGACCTCCATACAAAGAAAGAAAAACCTGCTCGCTACTCTTCACAGTCCACATTTATTATAGACGGGGTTTAAGACGTTACTTACCATGTCGCGATTAAAGCTTCGTCTGAAGTCTTTTGAACTTTTCCATTTTATTCCCCGCGTTCATAAGCAGGGACGCGGCACGTCTCTAAAAGCTAAATAAAGAAGCAGTCAAGCACAGAAAGTTCACGCTTACTCAACTGAGCTACATGTAAAATAATTCAAAAGGGACGGACGAGCACATAGAAATGTGTTTGAGATTAAGACCTCTGTACCTGCCAGATGAATGTGTCTCAGGCAGTTCCGAGGAGGATGCACCTGGAGTCTTCATCCCTGTCCATGACTCTGAAGTACAGTGTGCTAACCTATAAACACATCAGCTCTGGCGAAGACGAACATATCTGTGGTTTATGCACCATCACACGAACATGAAATACAGTTAGCGCTCCAAGCATGCAGGTGTTCACACTAGTTTCACCTGATTGGATCTCTTGTCAGGACTGTGCTGGTGTGTTCAGGGTCGCTTACACAATCGTGGGCCTTTTAACACAGGAGACATTTTGATTCGAAGCACAGGCTCAATTAATAATGGATTCATAATGGCTGCTTCAATCGTTAATGTTACTAGCTACACCTGTTCCTGCTATGACGAGTCAACATGTCAGCCATACTAAAAGGTATGCTGTGCAAAGGATTGTGGGTCAGAGGAGCCAGAAAAGCAAACCGGCTTGCATACTGCAAAATGCGAGCGGATGCAGGACATCCTGGTATTTTTGACATACTACGTAGTGGGACATACTTAATTGCCTTCTGGCATACTAAATAGTATGGTGGTATGGTTATTGGAACGTTAGGTGATGAACATCGCAAACATGAGTTCTCAGCATTAGCATCTTAGCATTTAGCTCAAAGCAGCACCCAACAGAGCTGCTAGCTAAGATGCACGCTATGGTTTCCCTCTACAGATCAGCCGTGACTAGATGTCTTGTAAACAAGCTCAAGAATAGTGTTTGAATTAAATTCAAACCAAATTTCTTTTTAGTTAAGACGGTACGATTTATCATTATCTACCCAAGATCTTCCACATTGTTTCGGGAAATTTTGTTAAAAGAAAAGAAAAAGGTTTAATGAAATCTTCAGTTAAGAGGTAAACCTGAAACACCAAAGTATGGTTCATATTTTCTACTACCTTGTCATTTGCAAGTGCCTTCATCATTTCAAGTGTTGATTGTAAAAAGAAATGTCCCAACATCACACTACTCTATACTCGGTTTACAGGAGCTACTGGAATTTTGTCCATTTTTTTATACCATTTTAAAACTCATCACTTCCATACATTCATTCTAATTGTAACAACCTTTAAGTCAAACAAAAGGGGGCTACATACATCCATGCCATTGGACTGCAAGTCTTTAATAACAAAAAAAAGAAAAACACCCCTCCATACAAAAGTATCTGTACATGGTCGCTTACTGAACTGTATAGCATTTTATGGAAATGGTAGAACATCGTTCATCTTTTAGCTTTAAATACAATACATCTCAGCAGTCAGCAAACCACAGTACTGGATCTGCAACACAAAGAGGGCTGCCGGTTGAGAGTCCATCTTTGTCATGGCGGGCGATGCAAAGCGGCTGTCCACGTCGGGACCCAGATACCGGTTACATTAGTCTAACATTTGACAACATTAACGAACCACATGAAACTTAATGTTGATTTCTTTTGAAAATAAAGAGCACGCAATTGTTGCGAGACATAAATAAAGCAATAATTGAATACCAGTGCAAGAAAGCATTCAGAGCATGGAGACACGGGGACAAAAAGAATCAGACAGTGGGATTGAGAAACTTGCTGTTAACGCTTACAGTAGAGCCTGAGTGAGACATTTCGACACAACACCGACACAGAAATACATTTGTGGTCTACTGATTATGAGAGTCAGTGGACGTAACATTAACGTTGACGTTAATATTGATCGGGTACGTTAAAATTAAACAATAATTAAAAAGAGAAAGAGAAAAATAGAGGACATGGAGATGGACAGAAAAACAATTGCACCGTATCCCTGCTATGTGCCGTGACCTCCAACCTGCCACCTGATCCTCCTCTAAAGACCTGAAGGAGAAATTCGACTCCCGTGTGGAGAATGGCGAGGTGGGTTGAGCCGTTGTAGGGGGGGGGAGCCGTGTGTCACGGTTAGGGAATATCTCATTGGGGCTTCCAGCCCCCACCTCACCCTGTGGCGGCAGACTCCTGCCGCGTACAAAGGTCATCGGTGGGATTACTTGCTACCTAACTGCGATTGTTTGACTGTGGTTGCATGCTAAGGTGAAGCCCTGACACAGGTGCGTAGGCAACACGCCCTCCCTCCTGCCCGGACCCACTGCCTCGCACCCTGAATGAAGGCTCGGGAAGTGTCCACACAAGCTTGTACTGTACGGGTCAAAAGTGTAAGTGCTGGGACAGCGGACTCCATTCACTTTAGTAAAACTGCTAGGTTCAACCATTTTTTTAAATGGCCGTCTTGTGGTTTTATAATTGTCAAATTGTCACAAAAAAAAAATCTGCTGCATTAAAACATCTTTGTAGACTGATGTACTGAAGCTGCGCTGAGTTTGGATGTGAATCTTAAATGCAGTTGGTGTTTTGAAGTAAAGGGCTGTTACTGCAGTAAGGGATGGAAAACAAAGTGCGAGTGATACACATCTGGTCCCCAGTTATGGAACAACAGACTGCAATAACTGCCACTAATTCTTGGGGCGGTTGTTAAAAATGTCAGAATAATGATCCCATCCATTATGAAAAAATGTATTAGTGCTGCAATCAAAAATAACAGTACAGCTTGCCGTCCCAATACTTGCACTTTTAACTGTATTTCATTTAAAAGATTACTATTGAAATGTTTACAATAAGTGCAAATTGGTCGTTATTCCAGAATAGCTCATTTTATTTTCGATGTCCTCGTGTCCCTGCCCCTGTGTAAGTGTTGTTCACCCCTCCCTCTCTACTCAGGTCCTCCACCTCACTTATCAGAGTTCTTGCGCGGCCTACGGAAGCTGGACATGTTCTCGTTTAGTGCATAGATGCGCCTGGAGAACTCCTCAAAGCCGGCGACATCCAGCTCTCCCAGCACCTGTTCGTCACACTCCACAGCTACTGCGTGGTCCACAGGGATGCAGCGGTAGTCTTCCATCCGGGCCTCGTCTGCGAGCCCTAAACCCAACCCAACCCCCATCCCCATCCCCAGGCCTAAACCGGTGGCCTCCGTGCCCATGATCTCCTCGGCTTGCTCCACAGAGCAGCGCAGCTCCGGGACCAGGCTGACAGGCGCCTGTCCTGGTACCAAAGAGCCGTTCATGGCACCTGTGTGCTCACCAGTTGGGACAATTTCCTCACCGGTTTCCTGCACTGCAGAAGAGCCTGGCGCGACAGTGCTGCTGGGTGGCCCCTCCTCGGTCTCTTCTTTATCTTCGATCTTGAGTCTCTCCTCCTCCACCGCCGTCTCCCCGCTCTCCCCCTTCTCTTCCTTCTGCCCTCCCTCCTCATTGGACTCTGTAGTCTTGGCCAGGTTAAGTGAGGCCATGCCGGCATCGAGGGAGGAGGATAGTTGTTTGGGTGAAGGCGAGGGAGAGGGCGGTGCAAGGCCAACCGGGGGCTGCTTCTCACCCATGGCTGTGTTGTAGCTGGGTGGAGGAGTTGGCTTGTACTTGTCGGCCTCCGAGCTCGCCCTTTTTCTCAGGCCTCGGTCTGGGGAGCTGGTGTGGGAGGGGTAGCCTATCTCTGAGGCAGCAGACACACCGAGCTGAGACTTGGTCGGCACTGGGATGGAGCTTGAGACATGGTGTCTGTCACTGCGAGGAACAAGGACAAAGAGAAAGACAATAAATAATCAAGGACACGACTATAAAGCAACAACAATCTAACGACTTCTAAGTGCGGTATCAAACTCCAGACGAGACTTAAGTCTGTATTTGATTTATTACGGTCAGCAACAATCTCTACGACCAACATAAGAGCCCGGGACAGCCTGAGGAGTCGAATGAGACACCCAGGCTCCATTTGGACCTGGTTCTCCATTTATCTCACCCCTCCACCTAAAGCACCCAACTCCATCCCCTGGTCCAGGAGAAAGACAGCTGCAGTTCTTTGTAAATCACTCCAACTTACAACATTCACAAAACATTTGTGCATCCTGTGGGACTCGCTTTCTGCTGACTGGAAGTGCGCAGCAGGCGTCCACCCAAGTATGTCAGACATTTTCCTCTTTAACAGATAACAGACTCGTGATCTGGGGACACCTTGCTTGGCCCCAGTACAGGAGCCATAAATTCACTTAAATGGGGGCCTTACCGCCTCTGCCGATTGGCCGGGGCCAAAATCACGGGACTACATAGCGCTCCGGTTAACGTGACCATTCCACGGTGTCAGGAGCCGATGCACTGTACTGTTGTGGTCAAAGGTGAAGCAGGGCATCGCTGTGCGCTCCAGAGATTCACGTGTGAGGACAGATCTCTGCTTTATTCAGTTGGACATGCAGTCATGAGAGATATCCTTGTACATTTTCTCCTGCAGCTTCTTTATAATAGTGGCATTTGAAGAATGCATTTATTTATTGTGCACTCACTCGTTGCCTGATGGACAGTTCCACCACCAAACACATGGCAGCTTATAAAAAGGGGCCTAACCTTGGCCCTCACCAGCACCGTGCCGAGGTGGTCCTGACAGGGTTCACAGGCGGGACACTGCTGAGAAGCCTGTGTAGTTTCAAGAGAAACTTGTCAAACTTCAAAGCGCCTGTGATACAGTAAATGAGAACCACTGATGGTCTGAATACTGGATGACATTTCAGCTAATTGGAGGAACATATTGGACCGTCAGCCAAGGTCAGCGTTAAGACAATAAAGGTTTAGGGTAATGACCTGATGCTGTGAGGTTTAATTCCTATTAGGGGTGCAGAACAGGAGATGGACTGTGCTTAACTTGGCAGCGCATGTCCATCAAAACACATAGTTTAATACAACTGACTTTAGCTCCCCCCCCCCCCCTAATGAACATGTGGTTCACTCTGCAGCAAGGAATTTGGGGGCAAAATGGAAACAACGTGCTCTTTAACACCTAATTGTGCTGGAATGACAATTGTAAAAAAGAAAGAATGAACAATTTGCCATCTCAAACACTTATCTGTGACTTTCCAAATTAAACCATCATGGCTTCTTTGGAAGCCCGTCCAAAAAAAGAATTTGGATAGAAAGGAAGAAAGACGGATGTCATGAAAAGTCAATTATCATTTAAGTAAGTGGAAAATGTGATTCAGGCTCTTTGAAACACAATGCAGGTTTGAAAATGGAGACGACTGGTACTGAGCGAAAAGTTAAAGGTTTTCTATCATTTATGAAAAGCTAATAAGTGACTCCTACGTATTTTAGCTTGTCCTTTCGGCAAGGATTGGGTGTCTTTGATTGTAATTATCAGCCATTCGCTGATAATTACCATTCGCCTCTCCAGCCTCTCCAGCTGGCTCTTTAATTTAATCCATTTGGTCTGAATATAGCTGGCAATTTATGCCACAATCAAATGTATTATTGACACTGGCAAAAAGTAAAAAAATCACATGGTCATCACACCAAGTCGTTTGTATAATGAGGAATTTCATATTTGGACCGTGTTATTTAGTTCCACTCAGTTTCTATGTTTGGCCGACATTTGCTCTTTTATTTGTGTCACACAGTGCAGCGTATGCAGCGTGTGAGTACCAGAGGAGACTGGGCGTGTCGGTGAGGACTTCAGCCAAGCAAACCTCTGGAAAGTCATAACATTTTTTTCCTCTTGAAACATTTTAACTATTATATCAATGACATGTTTTTAATGTGGGCAATTAGGCTACACATGTCTGGCCACTGTGAGCAAGTGTGCTGATTAAGGTTGCCGAGAAGAAAGAACTGCTGGAACACACGTCCTAATGTTTGGAAAAGCTGGAACTCAGACAGGCCAAATACTTAGATTGCATGAGCTAACCGTCTCTTGTTGACGTTCTCGGTGCACTGCGTGAGATTGTTCATATTCTTTATAAACCTCTACTCTGCTCCCATTGTGAAATGTCCCTCTAGTGGCATCAATCATTCTCACAAGTAGTCCTTCAAATGCTTTTTTAAAAGAGGTAAAAAGGGATGATAATAATGTGTGTCTGTCTGTTGGTCCACCACTTTGGTCCAGACTGAACTCAACAACTATTGGATAGATTGCCATTAAAATTCATTCATGGTCCCCACAGGATGAATCTTACTACTTTAGCGATCCCCTGACTTTTCCCCTAGCGCCACCAGCAGGTCAAGTTTTCACTTATCTAGTTAAATCTCAACATCTACTAAATGGATCGGCAAAATATTTGGTCGAGATGTTCATGGTTCCAAGAGGATACATCTTAAAGACTTTTGTGATCCCCTGACATTTCCTTGAGTGCCACCATGAGGTTAAAACATTTGTGATTTTAAGTGAAACGTCTCAACAATTGTTGAATGCAAGGCCACACAATTTGGTGCGCAGACTGGCCAATCATAGCGTAGCATTGGCCAACTCTGACCAGCAACAACTATCCGTTTCTACTCCACAGACTCTCGTGCAATAGTTTCAGATTTTCTTCGTCTTCAGACTGGTTTAGTGGATTTGGACCCGGTCGTGGTTAAACGTTGTAATAGTGATACGGGTCACACAGAGAGGTTGAAAGGAGGTACACGTTTGTAAAACGTAATGGTTCTACGTAAAAACTTGTGGAGCTAACATTAGCATAGTACGTTAGCACATCATTCACTAGCGTTAGCACTTCAATGCTACGCTAGCTACTGAAGGTGTACTGAATGTCTTCCTATGCCCCACTTTACAGGAACAGTGCTGTCCCTTAATTTCATTGTATTCTGTCTCGATCGCGAGCTGATGTGGTGGTTTACTCTTAGGCTTTAACTTCTATCTGAATATCTTTAAACCATTTCATTTTCACTGCTCAATTAGTCTGACATTCTGGATACATCATTCAAACACATATTGTAAACCCTTCTACCTGCTTTTCTTTCTCCTTTTTTCCAAAAATTAGACATTTATTCAGGGAGTGTAGTTAGTGACAGTGTGGGCTCAATGGTAGTTCTGACAACTTGACAGATAATAAGCAGGGGGCGGGGCTTAGTGAAGGATCAATTGCTATGACTTTGGCGATCCCTTAACTTTTCATCTGGTGCCATCATCAGTTAAAATCTAAAAATGTGTCAATACTTTGGACTTGATAATGATAATCCCATCAGCCTCAGCTGTAGGCCACATACTGAACACCAAACTAAGGCTGTGAACATGGTAATCATATCTGCTC